TTTGTCCTACATTTAGCCAAGTACTAGTAGCTTGGAAGTTAGTTCCTGAGAGGGCCCAACCTTCGACATGTACACAGTATTCTAGACTTCCAGGGATGATAGTGCTGTTTCATTTAACCCTGGCTTCATAGGAATTGCCCCTGGGTCAGAGTAGCTTCTGTTAAGTTGTGTTTAACCAGAAGTTGTGGTTAAGACCCTTGTGCCAGTGAAGTTTCTACACTGTGTTGATGAGTATATGTATAGCTTAGAGAATGTTTTCAAGACCGCCCCATGTTCTGCCCTGATCGTTCCTGGGTGGCTACAGCCTAGTGTTTTTATAGTGCCTTTCTGACTCCTCTATGATCTAAGAGGGCTCTTCTTGGCTGTCTCTGGTTCTCTGCGTTAAACTTCTATCTGCTCTGCCATTCTGCTTGTATTGGAGCTCCTAGCCTTTCTTGTTTTTCATTAAGATTACCATTGTTTTCTTTCTTTTTTGTTGAGATGGAGTGTCGCTCTTGTCGCCCAGGCTGGAGTGCAATTGCGTGATCTCGGCTCACTGAAACCTTTGCCTCCAGGGTTCAATCGGTCCTCTTGTCTCATCCTCCTGAGGAGCTGGAACTACAGGTGCACGCCACCACGGTTGGCTAATTTTTTGTGTTTTTAGTAGAGATGGGGTTTCACCATGTTGGCCAGGCTGGTCTCAAGCTCCTGGCGTCAGGTGATCTGCCCGCCTTGGCCTCTCAAAGTGCTGGGATTACAGGCATGAACTACTGCACCGGCCCACTGTTTTTGATAATGCCCTTAGGCATGGGCTTCTCCTCTCTGTTCCAAATAAAGTCAGTCCTCTCAGGTGGAAATGTAGAGCTCTTTGTCCTTATAGCCTGTCTTTTCCCCTGAGCAAAATCTCCATGCCACTGCACGTGGGGCTGAAGGTGAGAGCCTTTTTTTCCCCAGAGTAACACTCCATTCTTCGAGCGGTCACTGGGGTGGTGGTAGCAGCCCTTGGGAGCAAGTTGGGGCAGTGGCAGTCAGGGCCCAGTGTTCTCAGTCTGCTGTACCTGGAATAGAACTTCCATCTTTTGAATGGGGGCTGTGTAGGGGAAGAGAGACCGGTCCTCTGTGTCACCTCTCCAGAACAGAGCTTCTGCACCTCTGGGCTGAAGGAGAGGAGAAGCACCAGCAACCTGTGCCTCCCAGGGTAAAACTAGCCACAGTCCGGGAGCCTGAGGGAGGGGAGCCCTCTGCCTGTCTTTTGGCTACAGGTACCGCAGGTAGAGCCTTCATAACACAGACCTGGTAGGATGTGAGAAATGGTGCAGTTTGTAACTCAAATGCCACAGACTCTAACTTGTTCTGAGATTTAGTACATTTTCTTGAATGAATGTTTCTCCACTTTCTATATGCCCTTAGTACAATATCTAGAGACTTCAAATGTTTGTTTTTAAAAATAATTTTCAGCAGTTTTGAATTTTTAATTAATTAATTTTTGTGAGACAGGATCCTGCTCTGTTGTCCAAGCTGGAGTCTTAGCTCACTGCAGCCTCAAACTGCTAGGCAATCCTTCCATCTCAGCCTCTCAAGTGACTGGGACTACAGGCATGCATCAGCGTGCCTGAGTAATTTTTATTTTATTTTTTTGTAGAGATGGAGTCTCTCTATGTTGTCAGGCTTGCCTCAAACTCCTGGCCTCATGTGAACCTCCCTTCTCAGCCTCACGAAGCCCTGGGATTACAGGTGTGAGCCACCATGCCCAGCCTACTAGTTTTTAAAATGTAGTTTTGCCAGTTCCACTGAGCTCCTTGTTCTGTCATTCTGGAAGTTCTCATTCATTTTTAAGCTTTTAAGGTCAGGTTTGGGATCTTCTTTATATGTAGAGGCAAGGAAGTTATTACCAAATATGATTTCCTCAAGATACTATACTCATACTAACAAAATAAATTATACTTTGTTGTAGTAAACTAAAATTTATGTCAGAAAACTTGAAACCAGTCTGGGAGGCAGCATTATTTTCCTTATATAGACCAGGATTTTGACTTTAAACTCATTTTCCACACAGCTTTTCAATTTGATGATCCAGACTGACTGTTCCCAGGCTTTGTAAATAAAGATTCTCTTTGTCACAGATAACATGAAGACAAGCTCTACCAGCATACCCATTGCCCTGGAAACTTTACAAAGTGCTTTACTGCTTTGTACTAGCTTTTTTTTTTCTTCCCAGCCTGCTTCTAATTTCAAACAGGAAAATCAGACAGGATGTGGCCTTGTGACTGAACAAGTTCATTCATCTAACATCATTAAATACCTACTTCATAACTGATAACTGGTGGATATTCTTTTTATTACCTATAAATGTGTCCTAGCCTAGAGCCATTCTTACTATGGTTGTGGTATTTTAAAGTTACTAATTTAAATTTGACTTAACTCTTTGAGCATAATTATGCAAAATAGTCATTTCTTTGTAGAGAAAACTTACTGTAGAAAATCGAAATGTTTAATCTTATAAAATATATCTTTTGAAAGAAACCCAGAGCATCTGTGAAGCAAAGGAGAGGAGAAATAACTGTGCATGTGTGAAAGGAGGCAGTGGGGCTTGGTCACGCAGGGGAAGAACTGAGGTGCAAGAGGCCTTCGGTGTTTCTTTAATCTGCTCTGTACTGCTGGCTATGAATCTAGACTAAAAAATTGTATTGTTCTCTGCTTTGTTTTTTTTCCTGACTTTAATTGGAAAATAATCACTTTTCTCTCCTGCACATTGAATTGTGGAGGAAAAGAAATAGTGTAAATTGATAAGGAATTTTGTAAGATTTGAAGTGCTTTAGAATTGTTCAATACAGTGGTACCTGTCTATAGTGCTGTCCTCTCTAAAACTGTGACAAATACAAGATGGGGCTGTCCTAAGTCCCACCCAAAGTTATTTATAACAGAAAGCTCCGAAAGGATGTTGCTGAAACACTTTCATTTGTGACCTGGCCTAAAGCAAAGTCTTAGGTAAGGTATTTTATAGCAGAGCACATATGTATATGTATGCTGTATAAAGGGAACTTTTCTATTTTCGATTCTCTTTTCTAATAGAGAAAAGATAGAACTCATAAGGCAAATATTTTTCTTAACTGTTAGCTCCAATCTCATTCTTCCACATTTTTCTGGTTACTTTCAGAAGAAAAACTAAATTTAGGTCACATTTGCTTTCTTTCTCTCTTTCTCACAGTTAAATGGCCAAATGAAATGAACATTAATTTTTTTTTTATGTCTTTATTATGTGGTTAAAATAGATAAGGTAAATAGTGGGTCCTAAACCAGAAGGCTTTGATCCTAGGGTGTTCTGTTTTTCATTTCTTAGAAGCCAGTCGAATTTAAAACATGAAGAAAAAATGGGAAATAATCATAAAGCATTGCTTGAGTTTCCAAACATATATAAAAAATAACAAACCCCCTTCATTGAGGTCAGGCACCGTACTTGGTACTTTACTGCATTGTCTCATTCATTTGTACCAACAACCCAATGAGGAAGGAGTCTATCATTTTTCATTTTGTGAAGAGCCAACTGTGGCCTAGACAAGGTAATAGAAACTTATTCCAGGTTACTACAGCTTCTAAAAATAGGATGGACATTTTAAATGATGAAATTAAAAGGCAAATACTTTCTGAATTACCCAGTAGTACATATTCTTTGTAAAAAAAAAAAATCAGTGATACAGGAAATCAAATTTTTAACAAATCATCAATAACTCTATGTTTTTATATGTGTGTAATTATACACACACAAACACAGAGTGAGAGAGAGAGCTCTGAAAGATCCTCAGTGAAATTATAGCATTGGCTAACCCTGGAGAAGAAAGGTGAGAAGGTACCAGGAATGGAAGTGATGGTTAAAAAAGTCTTTAGCTTTATTTTGAATGTTCTGATTTTTTGCAAGGAGAATATCTTTTATGCAGTAGTTGTATAAACTTAATAATTTAAAAATCCTTGAAGAATGTGAGGACAGGAAGCCAAATTCCAGATTGAGGTTTAATTTTCTTTGACCAGCCTCTTTGTCTCCTTTCTAGAGACTTCTTCATTGCAATACCCAACCAAGAATGTTTAAAACTTTTCAAAGATAATGTGTATGTGAGTTAATTGGTATAGTTAAAATTATGAAATCATTGATAATGAAGTATAAGACAGTATATGATGGTGGCTAAGTGCATAGACCCTGAAACCAGGATGTTGGGTTTGAATCTTGACTTCCTCATTGTATGACCTCTCTATGCCTTAGTTTCCTCATTTATAAATTTGGGTGCTGGTAGTATCTGTCTCGAGGTTGTTGTGAGACCCAAACGCATTATCATCTGTATAGTACTTAGAACAGTAGTTGGCACATAGTAAGTTATATAAAGTTCACTGTTATTGCTATTTTATCCTGACACTTAGAAAAAATGGTGATAGATTGTTACATGTACATCCAGACTGTTTTCTATGTATGTGTGTAAACATTTACGTATACTGATACAGATACACACACACACACATTCAGAGGAGTGTTTATTTTTATTAAAATTGGATTATACTGTTTCTGTTTTCTTGTCATCTTTTACAGTCAACACCATATAAGTATCTTTCCATGCCATTGAATGAAATGACTGTTTAAAATAAAAATTAGATGCATTTGATCTTAACTAGTGTGGTAGCATGGGTCCTTTTGACCAAATACATGAATATAAGATAAAATTGAAATTGCTTGGGGCTATGCTGAAAACCTGAAGTGCTTATTGATGTTGATATAGCTTACTTAAATGATTGAATAGACATTGGCATATTCTACCTAAGATTATTATTATTTGCCTAACTTGTTAAACAATGATGTCCAGCATTTTAAATGCTTATCTTCAGAGCCAATATGCAAGATAGAAGGCTGTTTTTAAAGTGTCATGGGAGGAAAGACACTTGAATAATACTCTTTGTAAAGAAGTAAAATGATCTGTAAAAAGTGTACTTGTTATTAATAGAATCATTTCTTCCTCCACCGCTTTCTGGCTTTTCAGGAGATGTTTCACAAAGCAGAAGAATTCTTTTCTAAAACAACAAACAATGAAGTGGATGACATGGACACATCAGATACCCAGTGGGGCTGGTTTTACTTGGCAGAATGTGGGAAGTGGCACATGTTTCAGGTATCTCCTTTCCTTGAATTTAGCAGAAGTGTTTTCGATTCACTTAGCATCACCTTGCTAATGTATGTAAAATGAGTATAAATATAGAACTTGAAGTTAAAACTTAAGGAAATAAAATCATTTAACTAAAAAAAAGTTAGAATTTCTTCTAGTCCTTTTCCTTTTCGTTTCCCCAAGTTTTCACACTCATTTATTTAGAAGAAACAATATGTGTTTACTGTGTGTACAGAGGACGAATGTGACTGAGAGTTGCATGGTGTCAGTACATCTGAGCAACTCCAAGTGTGGTTTGATGGACAAAGAAAGGGAACAACAAATCCATATTAAACACTTCTGTACCCCAGGTATTATGTTAGGTTTGTACATTTATTTTCTCCCTTATCTCACAGTAACTTGGAAGCAGATGTTAACATTCTCTCTTACAGTCAAGGGAAGTAAAACTCAGAAAAGTTGACATAATTTGTCAAGGGTCACACAGCTAGTGAAACTGAGATTTGAATCCGTACTCAAAACCTATAGTCTTTTTTTTTACTCTACTAAACTATAAAAGAAGATTTAATTTGAGCCACTTAGAAAGTATGATTATTGGAATAATCTGTAAAAATTGTGATTATCTGGAAAAATAACTATATTTCTATATATATCTAGTGATTGAAGGAGACTATAACCAGTTGTTTCTTCACTGGAGATCCTTAAACCATTTTAAATATGCTGGCTTAGTTGTGATTCTCCCTGTGTGTTGGGAACTAGAACAGGTGATTAGTCAGTTTCCCTCGTCCCTCCATTCCCTGTCTCTGTGACCACAGTACCACCTCTCTGGCCAAGTCATTAATGTGAACAGCTGGTAAATGAAACTTTCTGGTTTGTCTTAAAGCCGGATACCAACAGTCAGTGTTCAGTTAGCAGTGAAGATATCGAAAAAAGCTTCAAAACAAACCCTTGTGGCTCCATTTCTTTTACTACTTCCAAATTCAGCTACAAGATAGACTTTGCAGGTATGTTTTTTTCCCTAATAGTTGTGTGTTTTTAGTATATTGATATGGTAAAATCTACACCTCTGAAGGTCAGGATTAGTTAATGTATTTGCAAACAGTGAAGTATATCTTTTTTGTTATATACAAAAATACCTCTGTAAAAATTCAAGTTTTAAAATCTTGAGCAACATTACCTTTTGTAAAAGGTGTGTTTATATGGTTGTGTATATTAATGTATGTGAAGATTGTCGTATATATTAAGTGCGTTTCGTACTTCTAAGGAACACAGAACACTATATCAGTTGTTTTATTCATCATCCCATCAGTCTTTTGAAATAGGTAAGAACATTTTTACATTTTTTTTGAGACGTCTCGCTTTGTCACCCATGCTGGTGTGCAGTGGCGCAATCTCAGCTCATTGCAACCTCTGCCTCCCGGGTTCAAGCAAGTCTCTGCCTCAGCCTCCTGAGTAGCTGGGATTACAGACACCCGACCCCACATCCGGCTAACTTTTTTGTATTTTTAGTGGAGACAGTGTTTCATCATGTTGACCAGGCTAGTCTTGAACTCCTGAGCTCCTGATCCACCTGCCTCACTTCCCAAAGTGCTGGGATTACAGGCGTGAGCCACCTTGCTTGGCCAGAACTTTTTTACTTTAAGGACCAAGCATGTCAAGTGAGAAAGTCATAGCTAGTTGGCAGTGGTTTCAAGAACAAGTTTTAGCTGAATGACCTTTCTCTTGATGTCTTTGTCAGAAAACGATTTCTTTAATGGACATTGCCTTTTGGCTCTTTCACAGATTAGCCAGATAATCTGGAAATCAATCCCACTTTGGATTTCATCTGTGATATATGGGCATGTTTTAGGGTGTTTCATGAAAAACCTGATGAACTGAGCTCCTCAAGTTTCAAGCTGTTAGTTTCAGCTATTTATTGCTTAGAGGCAAACACGACCTGGATGGGAGGCTTTCTTAGTAAAAGAACATTTTGTTTGCTACACAGCTCAGTCCGTTAGCTGCCCTCTCTCAATTCCTGTGAGCAGCGTCTTTATGACAGTTCATAGCGTATTGTGGCTGGGTGGGGGGGACATTAGGAAAGCCCCTGAGATGAGCCAGGCCCAGAAACAGTGAAGGGGATTTGTCCAGTAAGTGATTGATGGAACCAAATACGTAATAATTATTATCCCACCAAAGTTGTTTTTCTTGTTTTTTTTTTTTTTTTTTTTTAATTATCAAGAGTTAAAAACCATGAGATCCTTACTCGTGACAAGCCGTAATTTTTAAATGCCATTAGGCAAATCAGCAGGATTTAAGAGGCCCTGACATTTGTCCCTCTGCCGCAGTCTAGGCAGAAGGTGTCTGGTAGGCATTTCTAGTCACGTGTACAGGTATTTTTGAGGGAGAACTGAAACCGAATGATATGCACAGACAACAGACCTCATGTAGAGCATGAAAAGTATCAAAGCATTTGGTAGATGATTCAGCAAGCCACATGTTTCTGAAAGAATATGTGTTAGTATACTACACTTTTTGGAAACTTGCTCTCAGAAAATAGAGTTTATTAAAAATATCATTATTAAGGAACAGGAGTTACATATACTAATAACTTGAGTTCCCAACCCTCTATGTAATGATCCTGTTTCAGAGGCGTAGGTATTAGCATTTCACATGTACTCTTTGCAGATTGCAGCTCCAGCCATTCTGCCCCTAGCCAACTCAGGTTTTCTCTATAGAAATGGTAAAAAGCAAACTCAAAATGAGATGGTCCAAGAAATGGCATCACAGGTCTTGCTCCACATGCTGAGATGATCTTGCTTTTTCCCTGAACAGTGGTAAATCCAGTATGTGTAGAGTAACACGGAAAGGACAGAACACACTTTATACTAGCCTTGGTCTGGGTGGGTAAACCTAATCATTTTGAAATGGAATGATGTCATTTAGATGAGGTAAACTGGCTAGAATCTTACATTAAGAATCACTACTTAACTTTGAGGAATGAAGAAATGGACCTGGTAAATATTGCCATGACTGAGGCATGGATGAAAGAAGAAAAGGATACCTTTAAGTAATTAGTCTCATCACTAGAATCTTTTTATGTAAGTTTGTACTGGGTCTAGCCAGGTTTTCTATTTTTTAGGTTTAGTTATATAATTAAGGAGAAATCAGGAAATGTAGAAATTTTTGAAATTCTATGAGTTGTACAAGTTTTGTAATCATTTCCAAAATTTTAAGAGAGATGGAAGTACGTTTTTCTACTTAATAAACCAACCACATTTAATACTGTTAATTTCTCTCTCTCTAGAACTCTTAGCTTTCCTAAGTTTAGAACTCTCCTAGTTTAGTGTCTGTTTAACCTAAATGTGATACAGAAGGGGAATAGACCGTGCATACTGAGCAGTGGATGAAATTAGCATCTTTGTGTGTGAGCTTAGATCAAGCAATGAAGCTGTGCTTCCTTGAATAGCACCTTCACAACATGATCCATAGCGCTATGGTAAAGTACCCATAGTATACTATGCTGGCCAGCTCCTCCCAAAGCTCCTTGATTCCTGATCATCACATAGCGTGGCTATTAATCTTCATGACACTTTATACTACAGTGTGTTTTTATGACTTATCTAATATCTTGTCTTTGTATACAGAAATGAAGCAAATGAATCTCACCACTGGAAAGCAGCGCTTAATAAAAAGAGCCCCCTTTTCTATCAGTGCTTTCAGGTATGGTAAAGAGAATAGGGGTGGAAAGAGTGGGGTTTTTTTTCTTACTATTGGACAGAAAAACAAATAGACTGAAAATATTTTGGTAGGCCATTTAATAATATTGATCTTTTAATCAAATTTTGGGCCGGGCGTGGTAGCTCATGCCTGCAATCCCAGCACTTTGGGAGGCCAAGGTGGGTGGATCACGAGGTCAGGAGATCGAGACCATCCTGGCTGACACGGGGAAATCCCGTGTCTACTAAAAATATGAAAACATTAGCCAGGCATGGTGGCAGGCGCCTGTAGTCCCAGCTACTCGGGAGGCTGAGGCAGGAGAATGGTATGAACCCGGAAGGCGGAGCTTGCAGTGAACCGAGATCGCGCCACTGTACTCCAGCCTGGGCGGCAGAGCGAGACTCCATCTCAAAAAAAAAAAAATTAATTAATTAAAATAAATAAATAAATAAATATCAAATCTCTCATTTGTTGACAAAATAGCAACATTATTATTTACTCTAAGTGCTTCCTTTCATGTTATCCTTTTCCTTTCTTCTTGTATATTTACATCTTTTAATTCTTTAGTAACAGTTTACATGGTAGTTACAAAATGCCTTGTGGTTTCTGCTCTGAACTCATAAAATAACTCACTGAGGTAAGTTTAAATTGTTAACTTGGAAATACTCTCTCAGAGACATATAATTATTGGGGCTGTAAGAACCAGGTAATTGTTCACTTTGTTTCCACCTCCGTTGATCTCCATTGGTCAACTCCTAGAAGTAATTTCAAATTTGTAGCGACTAAGGGAGACCTAAGGAAGGTGGCAGAACAGTGGATAACAGTATTGCTTTCTGTTCCCTGGAACTTGGTTACAAATTTTCTTGTTTGCTTGCTCTGGCCATAAGAAGTCTGAAAAAGGATGTATAAATGTCAGAAGACAATAAATATTTATTATTCATGTGAATGGACTTGAAGGAAAAAATCTTAAAGCGTGTCTCCTATTTTCTAAAATGACTCTTCAAGCATGTATTGAAATTCTTTTTGTTCAAATAATTTAAAATGAAACTGAAAAAAAAGGTAGCGTGTTAATTAAAAGAAATATTTTAAGTTTCTGTCAGTTTGTTTCTCAACTTTTGTTTTTATTTTAGCATTTATTTTGGTTTTATTTTAGCATCATGATTTAAAAGTTATTCCAAGTACTTATGTAATGAATGCTCTTGTACTTCTGTGGAATATAGAGAATAGTATTTCCTTACTAGCTACGTCATATCCACATTTTTTAGTACAAATAATATAATAAAAGAATTACTTATCTTCAGAAAGTATTTAATCTGGGAGAAAAATGAAAAATGAGACATAATAATGGAAGATGTTATTGTAATTGTACATTGTATCTGCTATGCTTTGGTGGAGGCAAGAAGCACTGTGATGGGATCAAACACTTTGTTGTTCTGTCACAGACTGTACAAAGTGTAGAACAAAGACAGGACAAGGAGAGAATTAAGCAGAATAGAGGACAATAAGCAAGATAATAATAAAAGGAGAGGACTATTTAGGTAAGATACAGTAGGGTGTTGAAGGTCAGTAGGTGCTGATATAGAAGTATTTATTTACTGTGGGAATACATTGAGCATTTATTACATGCAAGGTAAGTAATACATGCTTCCTATTGGCAAGGAGTTATTTAAGGCTGTTGACTACATAAAAACTAAAAACATTCGTTTGGTCATAGCTAAAAGATACTTTAGGCCAAGTATGTTTTAGGCATTTTTTTCTCACAAAAAATTTGGAAAATATTTTTATTCATTCTTGTAGTTGAAGGGGTATTCTCCGTATTATATGAAGTACTTTTAGGACTCTCTAAATAGGAGATCAACATGGGCAAATAATTTGAGCAGTTCATACAACCTCACTCATAATAAGAGAAAAACAAATTAATACCAGACTGATTTTTACTCTCAAATTGACTAAAATTCAAAAGTTTGATCACACACCTTTTTGGAGTGGTTGCGGGAAAATAGGCAATTTCTATATTTCTGGTGAGAATGTCAGTAGATATGTTCAAAGACAGCATTTGGTTGGTATCTGTTAAAATTATTAAAAAATGCATTCTTTGACTCAGAAATTCTATTTCAAATATGTTATTTTACAGATAGACAAGTGGACATGTAACATGACAGATGAACAAATGTGTTCCTGCAGCATTTTTTTTTTTTTTTTTTGAGATGGAGTCTCACTCTGTTGCCCAGGCTAGAGTGTAGTGGTGCCATCTCGGCTCACTGCAACCTCCGCCTCCCGGGTTCAAGTGATTCTCCTGTCTCAGCCTCCCAAATAGCTGAGATTACAGCCACATACCACCATGCCCAGCTACTTTTTTGTATTTTAGTAGAGACGGGGTTTCACTGTGTTGCCCAGGCTGGTCTCGAACCTGTAAGCTCAGGCAATCCATCTGCCTCGGCCTCCCAAAGTGTTGGGATTACAGGCGTGAGCCACTGCGCCCGGCCAGCATTCTTAATACAGTAGCAAAAAGTTGGAGACAAGCTAAATATTATTATGGTGTATCCATATGGTGGAATTCTGTGCATGTGTAAAATAGAATGCATTCATTCATTCATCTAGTACTTACTGAGTGTGTGCTATGTACCAGGCTCTGTTGTAAGCACTAGGAATAATGATACTCTCTATGTACTGTTACAGAAAGATCTCTAAGGATCTATGAAGTAAAAAACAAAAACACAGGTGCAATAAATGTATGCTTTATGCTACCATCTGTGTGAGCAAAAAGCTTGGCTTACATTAACCTAAAGCAGCTCTGGAAGAAAACCCAAGACTAAAATAATCATTACCAGGAGATGGGGTGAAAAGTGAGACTTGGACGTAGCAGGGACTGTAGTGGGAGGAAGACTTCTCACAGTATATTTCTTTATACATATTAATTTTTAAACCACATATTTGATTTTTTTCATTAAAATAAGTTTGAAAAAAGTAACCTAAAGATCAGTTTGAAATTTATTAGTTTCTTTAGTAACAGCCAATCACTGGAGGCGATTGGTGTGTCATTTTCAGCCTTTTGCTGTTAAATCCCTCAACATCACTGTGTTTTTCTGTATTCACAGCCGGTGGCTTGAACATGTTTGATAGTTTTTAAGATTTGCTGACTGACTGTGCTAATAATAATAACCCTTAAAGTTAGTGGGCTGTTGGAGAGAATAGTGGGCAATTAACAGAGAAAGGTTTAGATTTGAGTTAGATCTTGGAGAACATTGAATGAATGGTGGAGGAATTTTGATTTTATTCAATAGGCAATATAAGCACGAGTTTCAGCCTTTTGTTTTCATCAGGAGCTTGATTTTATTTTGAATTTCTTTGCCTAAAATCTTCACATTTTAAAGAAATTTTGGAAATTTCAAAAAAAGACAACTAAGCAACCGGTTTTGAAATTTTTATGATATATAGGGTTGTGTATTTTCCATCGAAAGTTCACTATTCAACATCTAAAAAGTAGCACACATAGACATTCAATAATTTTTGAATAAAGAAACCAAAGGCTATATTTAATTGCATGTGTCACAGTACCCTGAAAATGAAAATTAAGCTTTGAAGAAAAGGCTAAATTCTTGACAGTAATTATAATCAGCTTCTGATATTTTGTTTTGTCTTTTGCTGTTTCAAGTTACATCTGTGAAAATGAGGCCATCCCTATGCCACCACACTGGGAGAATGTGAATACTCAAGTACCATATCAGGTAAGAGCAGAATTGACTGAATATACCATGAAAGAAACCGGAAAGGACCGCAATAAATCCCTGCAAATTTATTTTTCCAGCTTATTCCTCTGCACAATCAAACACATGAATATAATGAAGTTGCTAATCTCTTTGGGAAAACGATGGATCGCAACCGAATTAAAAGAATTCAGAGAATTCAAAACCTAGATTTGTGGGAATTCTTTTGCAGGTGAGATGATTTCTAATCTGAACCTTCTCCTTACCGCTAAATCTTTTATGGTTAAAACATAAATATTGAATTGTGTTAATTTTCATTGGTGTAGACATGCTGCTTTTCTCTTGCCATATTTTGACCTGGTCTCAGGGCTCTTCTTCAGCATTCTCAGGGAGTGAAAGAGTTGGTCTGTAAACTTTGTTTGTAACATTGCAATGTGAGAAGCTCCTTCCTTTCAAGGTTTAGAACTATGCATCTTGGCTGAAATCAGCATTACAGAGGAGTGTCGGAGCTGTTTAGCTTTGTTGATATGACTTCCTTGGCTCAGCTTTTTATTAGAAGTCTCTGCAAACACTGTTTTGTTTTTAACAGTCATACTATCTTGCCAATAGTCTTTTGCCTGTTTTATTTTAAAGAACACTTTAAAACATACCTTCAAATTTCTTGCTTAGCCTAAAGTTTACTTTGTAGATTTAAAATCTCAATTCCTTACTAGATTTAAGTTGGAAATGACCCATTGGGTGACTCGGTGTTCACTTAACCGAAAATAACGTCTGTTACAGAAAACTTAAAGCTATTAAAGGTATTATCCAAATTAGCCTCTTCTGCTGTATTTTTTTATGACATGTAAAAAATTAAAATAAGTGGTTCTCTGAAATATTTTCAGTTAACATTTGTGGATGAGATTTGATTTCTAATAATTTTAAGTATATAAGCTGACTTTTAACTTTTTATTCAGAGAAATTGCAAATAAACACAAAAGTAGAATCTAATATAATGAACTTCATGTATCATCCTGATTCAGCATCTATCAAGATTTACCACACATAAACTGTCTCCTTTTTTGTTGTTATTGTTGTTGCTAAAGTATTTGAAAGCAAATCCCAGACCATAACTCATTTCATTTCTATATACCTGAGAATTAGGCTGATTTTGTTTGGTAATGATATATGGAATTCTTTCTTGGTTCTGACTGACTAGTTAATATGGCCTGCGTACATTTCCGGTTTTATTCTCATAATAGTTTATGGTAAATAAGGGGCTTTCAGCTTGTGTTCTTTATAGTCTCGGGTCTATTGGCCAAACCAGCTTTTATTTCTGACAATAACTGAGGTTAACTGGGTTTATAAAGTTTAATTTAGTTCTTGTTTAGATGATTCTTTTATAGAGGAAGACAGAAGCCTCTGCCTCCTCTGACTTTGTTCTCTCAGTGAATAAAGTAAGTTTTTCTAAAATAGTCTGATGAAAATTTAATTCATTATTCTTCATCAGCCCTCTGAATTGGAGATCAAATTGGTCTCCTTCATAAATTGAGTCCCCAATTAAATCATGTGGTAAAAATGTACCAGTAATTCCCCAGAACATTTTGTACTAAGAATTTCACTGGAAACAGTTTTACTCTGGTGATGCCCTTCATGGTTTTATGTAATGTCAGCCTGTAGAAATCTGTGATGGTAAGTGAACCTGCCACCTGCCACGACAGTACAAAATGCTGAGTCTCCTTATGATGGCAGCCTGTCATTTTGACATCATCCTGAAGAACTAAAATAACTTGGTCTGTCTCACTGTCACGTAACCTGTGACTCACCATATAGGTAGTCAGGCGCACATGAGTCCATCCGGCAATAGTTTTCACATTGCCTAGGCCTCTCTTACTTCCCCCACTTCTTCTAACAAAAATGTCTTAGTACCTACTTTATGACAAGCACTGTTCTGGGCACTTGGGATAAAACGGTACAGAGAACCTTAGCTTGGAGAGCCAGACCATTGTAACACAGAAATGTGGGGGTCAGCTCAGGGCATCATGGCAGCACAAAGGGGATCCATCCATCTTTGCCAACAAAAGTAGGGGATGTGGAGTGGAGTGGGGAGAATTAGGGAGCCCCAGACACCAGTTGATAGGAGAAGGGCATCTTGGGCATCGGGGCAGTAAGAGCCAAAGTCTGGATATAAGAGGGAGCACAGAAAATTGAAACAGCTTCAGACTGAACAGAAATTAGGTAGAATGGTATCAAGAGGCAGAGCCTGCAGGAGTTTGTAGTAGCACCACTGGGGTGGTTGTGTGATTGTCTTTAGTAGCCCTAGTTGAGTTGGATCAAACCAGAGTGGAAGTCAGAGAGTTAGCAGGGGCTAGACCATGTGGGGCCTTATAAGCTAAACTAAGAGGTTTGGATTTTTTCCTGGGACAGTAGAATGCCATTGTAGAACTTTAAGCAAGAGAGTGATGCATCTGATTTGCATTTTAGAAAAATAATTAGGCTGTGCAGTGGAGAAGGGGTTTAAAGCAGTGGTTCTCAACTGGGAGTGATTTTACCTGCTGGGGGACATTTGGTAATGACTGGCGTCATTTTTGATTGTTAATGTGGCAGGGTGGGGGTGCTTCTGGCGTCTGCGGGATAGAAGCCAGGATGCTAAACATCCTACAGTGCATGACACAACAAAGACGAAGCCTTCCACAACAAAGAAGTGTCAAACACAAAATCTCCGTAATTTAAAGGGATCACAGTTCGAAGCAGAGAGACCAATTTAGGAAATTGTTTCAGTAATTAGACTGAGACACGTTGAGTTGCCTGACCCAAAGTGGTATCTGCTGTGTTGGAGCAAAGAAGACAGTTTTGAGGTATTAAGTTTATAGAATGATAGGGCTTGGTGCCTCACTCACTGTTTGCGATGGGGTGAATAAGGGAGATGAGAAGGATAACTCCCAAGTTTTTGGCTTGTTTGTTTTACTTGACTAAGGGAGTGTCAGTAGGAACATCTTTAGGGATGATGGAAAGGGAGTAGTAGTTGGTATACAGCAGTTGACATGTGGGTCAGGAGTTCAGAAGAGTGGTGTAGACTAGCGACAGAGGTTTTGGAGTTGTTAGAAAACGTGGGGTAATAGAAGCTATAGGAATGAAGAAGATGACTGGGGAGCATGCGTACATTAAGGAAAGAAGAGGGCCAAGGGTCCAAGTCTGGAAGGGATGAACAGAGGAAGAGAAGACCCAGGGAGGGAACTGACAACCACAGAGAGTGGGAGAAAACCAGTAGACGATGTAGTCACAGAAGCCGGAGGGAGAATGTGGTTTACACAAGTAGGTGCCATCTGTGTGATTACATACTGAAAAGATGCTAAGTAGGATAAATTTGAAAAGTTCCTTTGCATTTTTCAATAAGAAGGCCATTGGTAACCTAGAGGAAAGCAATGTTGGTAGATATCCTATTGTGTATACAGCAAATGTTGACAGCTTTTTCAAGAAGTTTGGCAGTGAGGAGGGTGAGAGATGTGGGAAGACAGATCATGTGGGGTTATTGTTATTTTTTAAAAATTTAATCATGGGAGAGAACTGAACATTGTAATTGGAAAGGACCGATGGAGAAGGAGAATTTTAAAGACTCTTAGAGAAAGAGTGGAAGGGCAGTTGATGGATTCCAGCTCCTGAAGACATGTGATGAGATGAAATTCTGAGAACGTATGTCAGGAAGGAGATAGAGAAGCATGGTCCAGTTGTGTTTACAGATAAGTCGAGGTAGGGGATGAAAAGAGGAGTTAGGTTAAGGAGTTCCTTCCTGATACCTTCCATTTCTTTTGTGAGGGAAGAAGGGAGGTCACCTACAGAGAATAAAGTGTTTGGGAGGTGTTGATAAGAGGAAAAGGAAAGGGGAAAGAGGAGATTTGAAATGGCCACTGTGGATAATGGGGTAGAACGAGCTATCTTGGGAGCCATAGGATTTCTGTCAGCATTGAGGGCTTAGCTAAAGTATGTGAATTTATGGGGCAACCCATGTTGTGTAATGTACTTCAGAGTACAAATGGAAGGGCAGATATGGAGATGGTTGGGTTGATCCACAGCTGGGAAGCATAAGGCAGCAAGGACATAAGAGCATCTTATTAATAATGTGAATTTAGATCAGAGATTCTCAAACCTAGTTGCAGGTCGGAATCGCCAGTGGAATTTGCTAGCAAGTAGAGACATCTGTCACCTGTCACAGATCTACTGCATCAGAACCTCTGGGTTCTGACATTTTTACCTTAAAACAGTTCTATAAGTGGTTCTGATGTTCGGCAGGGTGAAGTGTGTTCTAAATCTAGGTAGACTTACTTTAATCCAGAGCATGGACGTATTCTTGCTGCAGTGCAGAACATGTGCTTACACACTTTAGCCAGTTTGGCACTCTAGTCCCTAAGAGGTGGATCATTTTGAGACACTTTGAGAAGTGGGTGTGACAGTACTTTGAGTAAGTTCAGGAATGACTGTGGATCTGGGCAAAGGTGGGCAGGGTTGTGAAGAACTTAGCGTAGGTCTGTGACTTTCCTTGCAGATGTAACTAAAGTTCATGAGGCCCTGGAATTCGACTTTAGCCCTTCTGGAACACCAAGGTCATAGTCTGTGAATGTCCACATTTCATGGCTGCCTTAGTAGTGGGAGTAGTGGGCACTAGAACAGACTGTGCCGTGTCTAGCTTGGTTTCTCACTTGATAGTTGTTGAGAAAGTTTCTTTTCATGAAGACAAGATGGAGAAATATGTGCTGGTTGCTGGTTGGTATTTCAAAGAGGAAAACTAGTAGCCAAAAAGTCTTATGCAGAAGAGTAACTCGAATGGCATGCATGCTTTCTTCTTGGGTCCTTCAAAATTTTTATCAGAAACTTGGATGAAAATGCAGAAGGTTTGCTTATCACACTTGTGAAAGATTCAAAACTAGGAGGGGTAGCTTATGTGTTGAGTGAGTGAATCAGCAGTCAGAAAGACCTTGGAAGGTTGAAACAGTGGGTAAAAACAAGTATTATCTTTTTTTTTTTTAATTAAAAAAATTTTTTTCCTTTGTTTTTATAAAGGAAACAAATGCACATTGTTTTAAAAAAGTGAGAACATAAAGTTCTAAAAAAGGAAGTTGGTATAATTCTTAGTGAAAGCATGCTGACTTTTTGTAAAGTAAACATTTGCTAAATGCACAACCTTCTAAGGTCGTGCTTAATGGTCTGAAAAGACTATCACAAATAGATCAAAGCATATACATTTAAATTTTGATACATACTGCCAAATGACTCTTGAGAAAGACCATATGCATTTTCATTTCTGTGTCCATTTAAATGCAAATATCCATTCCCAAACATACTCATCAAGCTCCATATCATTTATAGAACTCAGTCTGTGATACGGATATTTTACTGTTATTTAATTTTTACTTTTTAAATTACTGTATCAAGTAAAACTTAACTGAAATAAATCTATTACATTCAGTTTATAAATCAGTTGTACAAATTTAGCAAGCTAAGAGAGGTCTGGTTTGAAAAAGTCTGGGAGTTTGAACTGACTACACACTCAATCATGGTGATTATGGTGCAGTTCACTGCCCTGGTACCAAAATGCATTCAGTGGTGTCGGTGCAGTCAGTGCTGTCTAATGATATCTGGACTGTTTCTATTTCATACCAACATTTATAAACTAGAAAGTATGCAGCAGATTCTTGTTAACTAAAGACTGTTGGGATAAAGAAAGACCTAGAAGCTATGCTATGTCAGGAGTAGTTGAAGGAATGGTGTATATGTAACCAAGAAAATAAAGCCTAAGTAGGTGTTCATAGTTATTTTTGGATATTTGCAATGTTGTTTTGTGTAAGAGTGAATTGAATTGTTAGTGTTTGTAAGAGAATAATAAAGACCAATCAGTAGAAGTAACGGAAGGCAGATGTTGGTTTGGCGTTGGGATGGATGTACTTTCCAACTATTACAGCTGATCACAAATAGACGGTGCTGTTTTGCAAAGTGAGCAGTTGATGGATTGAAGCAGGCATGAAATAGCTATCAGAAGTCGGGGGAGGGGATTCTTTTTCATTTTTAAAATATGATTTTTAGTTTCAAGAATGAAAATGCAGCAAATAGTTTACAGACTCCCGTGTATCTACCTATCAGATTTAACATTTTGATACTTGTCACATTTCCTTCCTCTTCACACAGATACAGGTGAAGTGTTTACTCCATCCCTGTCCTACTCTCCTTCTTTCCTCCTGAGATTGGTATGGTGCCTTATTGTTTGTATTTTGTAATTTTTACTACCTGTGTATGTATACCTACATAATACACGGTATTATTTTGAGTTCTCTATCTCTTTTTGCAAGATTCTTTTTACATTAAATATTACTTTTCAAGATTTACTATGTTAATGCACATAAATCTACTTCATTACTTTTACCTTTTATATATAAATACATGACTGTGTATTCATTTCTCTGTGAAATAATTTTAGGCTGTTTTCAGTTTTTGTTTTCTGTTATAATCAGTCTTACATTAAATATGCTTTTATGTATTAGGATAGATTTATCCTTGGGAAGAGGATTAAACTGGATGGCTTAATGTCCCTCCCAACCCTACGGTGCAAAATTTAATCAACTGAACCAAAATTTTCTAGTTTCTGAGGATAAAAAGCATATGACATGGTCCCTGCTCAAGGAATTCACTGTCTAAAGTCTCTGCGAACGTTGTAGTACTTGTTTGTTGTCTCAGTTTTAGGCGTCTATAAAGCTTAGCTGGTTTAGACAATCAATTACGTTTACGAAGTTGGGGCATATCATGGGATAACTATAGTTTTTGGCATAATTTTCAACCATAAGTTTCAGTGTTAACTAATAATTTTTGATGAGACGATTTATGTGTCCAAGAACGTTTGAAATTATTTCTTTTCTAGACTTGCTTTGTCCACTTATTATTTATATTAAAGTATTTTCTGTTTGGCCCTTTCTGTTGAACCTTGCTCATTAAGATGAACAAATGCTACTTATGGTATATTTCTGTGTGCTTTTGTGTCTGTGTATATTGTGTTTTTAGGAAAAAGGCTCAGCTCAAGAAAAAAAGAGGTGTGCTTCAGATTAATGAACAAATGCTATTTCATGGTACCAGCAGTGAATTTGTAGAAGCAATCTGCATTCATAACTTTGATTGGAGAATAAATGGTATACATGGTGCTGTCTTTGGAAAAGGTAATTATCAGAACTCCAGGTCCAGTTTGAGTCCTAGGAGAGAGTTTCCTCTTTTTAGAGGAATATAAATGTAAATAAAAACTGCTTTATGGCAGATATATAGAGAATGAGAAAACAAATGGATTATAATTGCATTGTTTACCAGAATAGGTACTAGTGTTTTTGTTTTGTTTGGTTTTTAAGAAAATGATAGGTAAGGATATTAGTGAGCAATAAGGAATAGTGGGGGAAAACATCACATTATTTATAATGTTGTGAAAATCCAGGTTTTTCAATTTATGTCTGGTACTCAAGCAAATTAAGGAGAGAGGTGAGGGAAAAGGAACGGAATGTACATTTCATTTTCTTGTACTTACTTTATACCTTACCTCCAGCAAGAGAACTGACTACTATTTAGGATCAGGATATGCTACATTTTGAAAATGTAAATTAATTTTTAAAATAACTACTAAAAAGGCCATTCCACTTATTTAACTGTAAGGAGGTCAAGGTGTTACATAAATCCCATCAGCGTTAGGTAAATATGAGACTTTGCAATTCATTTCCCCATTTTTTTAGAGTAAGAATGCCCTTAATGATGTCTATCTCTTGTGATGCCAACCATTTCAGAAGAGTTGGCTGCTTTGTTGAGTTTTCATGTGCAGGCAGTGAGCCAGTAAAATCATTTTTGTTTTGGAATGCTCAGATATGAATGGCATTATACTCTCTCAGAAATCTTTTCATGGATATGGGATTCTATTGTTTCCAGAAATATTATTGAATTGTTATCCCGCATCATAGAAATATGGTTTCTTGGGGTTTAAAAGAATCCCTGTGGGCCATCGGTTTCCACTGTGCTCTCCAGAGCTTTGCTGGATGCTGACAAGGGAGCAGGGTGAGGAAGTGGTGGAAGGAAACAGAAACAGGAGGGAGGGCCAAGCAGTAAAACTCAGGGCCGGGCATGGTGGCTCACGCCTGTAATCCCAGCACTTGGGGAGGCCGAGGCAGGTGGATCACCTGAGGTCAGGAGTTCAAGATTAGCCTGGCCAACATGGTGAAACCCTGTCTCTACTAAAAAAAACATAAAAATTAGTTGGGCATGGTGGCACGTGCCTGTAATCCCAGCTACTCAGGAGGCTGAGGGAGGAGAATCGCTTGAACCTGGGAGGCGGAGGTTGCAGTGAGCCGAGATCACACCACTGCTCTCCAGCTTGGGAGACAGAGCAAGACTCCATCTCAAAAAAACAGAACAAAACAAAACTCAGGTCCAGCCACACTTTTAATCATTGAACCAGTTTTATCAGTTTTATTAATTGGTTTCTTTGTAAGATTTATTTTAAAAAGAGAAGTCTGGTAGCTATATTTTGGTGGGGGCAGGGGATGGTGTTGGTGGTGAGGGCTGGTATATACCAGCAAATCTATTCCTATGGTAGTCTATACCACAGCTGTCCATAACAGATGGATTTCTATTCTTCTCTTAAAGATCTGCGAATGAGGAAATTCCACATCTACTTTTATTATACAATTCTATGCATCTGTTCTCCTGACAAAATGTTTTTGCTTGTTTTTAATATATTCTTCAGAGTAATCTTGGCTTTTCTTGGTCCTCTTTGTTTAAGGAACCTATTTTGCTAGAGATGCTGCTTATTCCAGTCGTTTCTGCAAAGATGACATAAAGCATGGAAACACATTCCAAATTCATGGTGTCAGCTTGCAACAGCGGCATCTGTTTAGAACATATAAATCTATGTTTCTTGCTCGAGTGCTAATTGGAGATTACATAAACGGAGACTCCAAATACATGCGACCTCCTTCCAAAGACGGGAGCTATGTGAATTTATATGACAGCTGTGTGGATGATACCTGGAACCCAAAGATCTTTGTGGTTTTTGATGCCAACCAAATCTATCCTGAGTACTTGATAGACTTTCATTGATTTCACTTCCAAATCTCAGTGGTCAAGGAAGCTTTATTCTTTTTTGCAGGAAGATTTGCTCTTCAGCCATCTAGCCACTAAATGTTAATTATCTGATACTTTTGAAACAGATATGAAAAACAAGTGGCCTCCATATAAAAAGACATACTGACTTTAAGGTTGGTTTTTGTTGTTTTGTTTTTGCCTGTTTCTTGTAGTCTTGTTTGTTAAAAATTAATATCATTGATGTTTTAATACGTAGGGGTGAAAGATACCATTCAAAATGGAATCAGCTGAGTCTCAACTAATGTGGTCATTGAGATCTTTAAGGTTTACATGTGTGTTATCAGGATAAATGATTTTAGTTTAAATGGACTTATTCGTATAAATGTTGAAAAAAATATATAGACATAAATGTGTCCCTTTAGAGGAATTGATCCTTTGTAAATTGAATTCAGGTAGTAGTATCATCCACCAATCCATTCGTTACTTTGTTGGTCTTCTGAAGGGGGGATTTGAAACTCTGAAACAGCCTGAGCACCTTGAGAGAAATCAGAAACAAGGCAATTATTTGCAGTGCTGTCATTACAAGTCAGAAGCAGAAAATCAAGGTAGAGTGTCCTGCTTTCCAGTTGCCTCAGGATAGCAGACTGCAGCCTTAGACTTGCTCCTGTCATTCTCCTCTATCTCCTACATCTGAATTGATCATTGCTGCAAAATATCATTAGCCTACACTTCATCCATCAGGGTTCTTGGATTCTTAGACCACGACTTGGTGTGCAAGGTGTTTATTGCATCTTCAAAGTGAAACTTTAAATTATTATTCAAACATTTATTTTCCTTTTGTTTTCAAAAGAATCCCTACAGTGATCACTTCTAAGATTTTTTTTTTACCTTCCCCTCTGCAGCACACACAGCTATTCAACAATGATTTCTAAAATTAATATTTCAAATTTATATCTCTCCATTTTGAAACATTATAGAAAGCATGGGATGCTTGAGGCAAATCTGGTTTCTCCTTTGAAGTAGCTATTGACAGCCTACTCTCTTGAAAAGTTAGATGTAATTCTTAATCATGTTTAGTGGAAATTTGTTTATCTGTTCCATCTGTTTTGCTGTTCCATTGTAAGGAAGATGAGAAGTGTTGGGACAGCTTCCTTCCCCTAAAGATTTTCTAGCAGAGGCGAGACAGCAGTTTGGCAGGCATGTTGTATAGGAGTTAAGTACCAGATGGGGAATTGCCCATGTGATGGTTAAGAGTCTCTCACATTGATTTCCTTTCTTTTCTCCTCTTCTCTCCTCTTCCTCTCCTCTTCCTCGTCTTTTCCTCTTCTCTTCTCCTTTTCTCTTCTTTTCCCCTTCTCTTCCCCTTCTTTTCCCCTTCCCCTTCTCTTCCTCTTCTCTTCCCCTTCTCTTCCTCTTCTCTTTCTCTTCTCTTCTCCTTTTCTCTTCTCTTCCCCTTCTCTTCCTCTCTCCTCTCCTCTCCTCTCCTCTCCTCTGTTTCCCTCCCTCGTTCCCTTCCTTCCCTCCCTCCCTCCTTCCTTTTTCTTTTTTTTCTTTTTGGTAGAGTCTTGCTGTATTGCCCAGGCTGCAGTGCAGTGGTGCAATCTCAGCTCACCGCAACCCCCACCTCCCGAGTTCAAGCAATTCTCCTGCCTCAGCTTCCCCAGTTACTGGTACTACAGGTGCATACCACTATGCCCAGCTAATTTTTGTATTTTTAGTAGAGACGGGGTTTTGTCATGTTGGCCAGGCTGACCTTGAACTCCTGACCTCAGGTGATCTGCCTGCCTCAGCCTCCCAAAGTGCTGAGATTACAGGCATGAGCCACTGTGCCCAGCCTGATTCTCTATGATTCTACCTTTAAAAGACAGCACATCTACCAAGCCTTTTTCAGAAAGCTTTTCTCTTAACTCTTTCTAATACTGAATTTTCTCTCTATTATCCTTACCCACTTCTGGCTGACAATTAGTGAACACAATTTAACTTCTTAAAAAAATCCCGGTGTCTATGCTTATATTGCTCACTTAAATCATTTGAATTACAAAGGCATCTACAAATAATAAAAGTAATGAGTGTAGACAGATTAGGGATCGTAATTCTTCAAGTGCCATCCATCCCAGATTTCCATTATAGCCCAGCATGTGTGTAATTGTGCAGTGGGAGGTAAGTAGTACCCAGGACATTGCATGTACAATACTTTGAAACAAAGTGGCAACAGAGATTTCCTGACTCAGGTATGTAACCCAGCTGCTGGTTTAGATGAAGTGCTGAGAATATTTAGAAAAAGCACTTTAAAAAGCATCCAGAGATTATCATGAAAATAATTGGAGGCAAAGTCACTAGGCTGCCTTGTGAGAGGCAGCACACCATGGTTGTAAACCCGTTCACAAAAAACAATGTTAGAGACATTAGGAATTCAGATTTTGAAAATCTTTTTTTCTATTTATTTGTTATTTACATACCAAAAAACCACATTAAAATAGTCCTCCCTTCAACATGGCTATCTTTTTTCAAGTTGTATATGCATACCTCTCTCAGCACTTAAATGGAATAACTGTTGCAGCATTTGGGGGTTGTTTTTCTTTTAGACATTTGCAGATCTTATCTCCGGGTGACTGGGGGCCCAGAGTTAAGTATTTGTTAGGCAATCTCTGCGAACTGTGACCTTACCTAGTTGGCTTATATGAAATATGTAGAATGCGCTGCAGTAGCCATTGTAAGAAAGTACTGTACTGGTTTTTTGGGGCTTGTTGTTGTTGTTTGGTCTGAGAATGTACTGCCAACCCATCTTTTATAAGAGAGAACTGATTTTGATACATATTTTAAAATATGATAGTATAGAGTTAATGGATGTTAAAATTTTATTTCTTTGTTTTGGTAAGTAGATTAAATTGAGGATCATATGATCAGTACATTTGAGAATTATATGACCAGTATATAATAATACTGGACATAACCATTTGCTGTCTTTTCCTGTTATCATCACATAGAGTGGGTGGGAAGAATGAATAGAAATCACTCTAAAATAATGAAAAATGGTTTTTAAAACTCTATATTGATACATTCCAGCTGAAAATGACTTTTCTTTTTCACTTTGGTGATATCAGCCTCAGGGTAAAAAAAAAAATGTGTTTATAAAAAACAGTTTCATAAATCTTTTAGTTATAAACAGAAAAGTTTTATATCAGTGTGTCATTTCATTTCTAGACTGTTGATGGTGATGATAATAAAGAATTTGGAGCCAATTTTGATATATGAATGTATTGCTTTTACATGTGATGATTAAAGCTCTCCATTAGCAGTTCTTGGTTGTCTGTGTATATCATATATTTGTTTCTGTGATTTATGTATCTCATCTCCACCTTGTATTATTTAAACCTAAGTTTTCAGCTCAATCTTAGTGGCCCCAAGGAGTTTGTTGCCTGTAACCATATGTACCCCACTTGCAGATGGGGGAAGTCTCTTGTTCTTAGTTTGAATCATCATGAGCAATAGCTAATCAAATGGGAATCATTAGAAATAGCTGATCTATGGGAAAAATCGTTTACTGTGTGCTATTATAAAAAAAAAAAAAATTCCCCAAACAGGCCAAGAGTTGGCATCTGCAGCGTTTTTTATTCTTGGTGTGCTCCGCTGGCTCAGAGGAGCAGCTGTGTAGGGTGTGTCTACTTTCACCCAAGGAGTATCCTTTCTACAGTCCATCTAACCTCCAGCCACTCGCACTGTGTCTACCATCATTCCTGTTGAAGCGAGTTAAACATTCTGTTGAACCTTTGGCAAGCAAGGATGGCATCAAAGGCTATCCTCATGTTCGAACTGAGAGAAACGAGGGGCAGAATGATTGACTCATTGTGATAAAAATTCAATTGAGCTTTGATTGTTGATCTAGAAGTGCTACATCCTTACAAATTCTGTTCTGTAGCCATTCGAGTGTTTGTGATTATCTCCCAAATTGCTAGGAATAACATGAGAAACAGTCTTACGGTGATCCTACTTGTGTAGCCTCCAGATATTCCACTCTGCTTAAGGATTATTTGTTTATTTTCAAATATTTCCTTTTGCTTAAAACAAAGAGAGTCAATTTCTAGATGAAATTATACACTCTGTACTTGTAAAAGAGATAAAAGGTAATGAAAAGTAGCAAGGAAAGGAAAAACAAAACCCTCGTCAAGAATTAGTTTTGGTTAGAAACTTTAACAAAGTGATTTTAGTTATTTTTATCCCTTTGCACTCTGCAGGAAGAGTTTTGGTGATACGAGATAGTCTGCCACACTTTCTTATGAATCATTTCATGATGTTACTTGGGGCAACACAGATGGAAGAAATGAACATTTCAAAGAACTATGAAATACATAATTATTTGCAGGCTGCTTGATTAGTGTGAGTAATATATGCAGGGAGAGGTGAGCCCTAAATATCCAAGAGAGAAGTTGAAAGTTGATCTTTTATCCTTCACTTTTTAGCAGTGGTAGTTTACTTCTCATGTTTTCAGAAACTCTAGGATGGAAGGTGGTTTGGGAACTCATGTTTCTTTCCTCCTGTCTCCTTCCTATACTGAGCTCTGCTTGATCCATCCCAGGTAAAAAGATGTCTCAGTTATTTCTAAACCCAAACAATAAATTCCTCGTAAATGATCTGAGTCTCCTGCTGTAAAATTATGTAATCCATTTGCTCAGCTGTAATTGCTTGGCTTTCGTTTCTCAGCACTACAGGCCAAGAACCTGGCTATTAGAATTCTCTCACTATGTGGCTGTGTATCTAAGAATTTAGCGCTCTTACTTATTTTTAGGTGACTTTTCATAAGATTGGAACATAGGTTTTATGCCAAAGACATTTGTGTTTTCTGCAGCTTCTTAGCATTGCTGGAGCCTCTACCAAGAGGTTATACGGTAAGCTGATTCTGACTCTGTGGCTTATGCTGACTTCATGATTGTAAACCAGCTTAAGGAGAGTCACCATCCAGAATTTCATTAAATCATCTTTGCAATATTGATTATACATCCAGACTGCACTTGTGTTTTCCTGTTCCTTTTTAAAAATACCTTTTCCTGAAGGGCTCATTACGCTTTAATGTCTCCTAGATAACATGTGGAAGCTGTAGGCATTATAAGCCCACGTTTGATGAACAGTCTCAGAGAATCAGCGTGCAAGCTCATTTCCTCCACTTTATTCCTTAAGAAGAAGATCAAGCCTCAACTTGGGAGCCAGCTGATCTGAATTTTATTCCTGGCTTTGCTGTTTGATTCAGTGTGACCTTGGATAACTCACCAGAGAGGGAAGGTTCACTTTTCAGAAGGTGAAGTTTATGAAAGACCAATCAGACTCTCATTGAAAGAAAAAGACCTGGTGGAGCACAGCTAGATTTCTCTAGGCAACATCTGACCTGACTGAAGATGATTTTTGAGTTTGGATCAGGAAAATACAGTAGCAGGGATCATGATGCATTGAGAAGAAGCAAGGGCTTGCAGTAGGAAGGAAAAAGAATGAACATGGTTGTCCCTGAAACTCTGCCACTAATTAGTTTCCCCACTCCCCTTCTAGTTCACAACTCTGAATTTTTGTGGCGTGCCAGGCACTGAACAAGTCAGTCATGGCCTCTGCTTTCATGGGACTTGAAGTCTAGCAGGGAAGACATAATGAACTGTAATGACAAGAATGATGAAGTTTCCTGAAGGGGAAGTTCAGGCCACTGTGAGGCTCTGACAGAGGGATTTCACCTGGCCTCGGGAATGATGGAAGGCTTTCCTAGGGAGTGACACTTGAATGTGAAGATAGAAAGATAAGTAGATGTTAATTGAGGGAAGGAGGATTTTTATCCCCCAGCCACACCCATCTGTGCCATATCAGGCTTTGAAGAGATGAGAAAAACCAGATATGGGTAGAAGCAACGTTGGAACATTGTTTTTATCACTAAAACAAAGATGGCAGAATCAAAGCCATTTAAATTGTGTTGCCCCAAACCCCTGCACCTGGTCCTGGAACCAGCCTTACGGGAACCAGGACCCAGCAGTAAGAGCTATGTGGAGAAGGGATTGTGAAGATTTTATACAGTTTAAGGGAATCAAGAAGCTTGTTGGGTAAGGGAGTTCCTTCTTGGCCCCCATGCCTTTGCTTATGACTTTCTGCCTCACCCTAGAACACACACTCGTATTCCTCCCTCTTGAAAACTCTATTTGAAGCATGGGCTCTGGAGTCAGATGTCCAGGGTGATTCCTGGTGCCAGCATTTATCACCTGTTTCACTTGAGCAGGTTGCTTAAGCTCTCTGTGCTGCTGTTTCCTCATCTATAAAATGGTGATGATGATAGTGTCTACCCTAGAAGGCTGTTGTGAGAACTGGATGAAGTAATGCTTGTAAAGTGTTTGGGATGATGCCCGGCACATAGTCAACCTCAGTAAATGCTAGAGAGTGTTAATACGTAAGGTCTCTCCTCTTTCAAGAAGTCTTCTATGCCTAATACAACCCTCACAGGCTAGGATTCATACGGTATTTATAGTGTACTTGGAGGTAGGGACATAACTTTTTTTTCTTAGCATTTACTTGGTCAGTGCCCTTTGGCCAAAGACCACCGGGAGCAACCCTGTAAGTTAAACAAATTAGGTTCATTACTTATGGCAGCCAGAGAGCACACACCCGCAGAGGAACTATGGGGTGTCCCGGTAGGAGGGTGCAAGAAAGAACTTTTTGTAGGATTTGGGCTTTGGGGATTTGGGGGAGGGTCTGAGGAGTTAGGATTTCACTCTCATTGGATGCTGTCAGAAAGCAGGGGCAATTCTATAATTTGGCATGTTCATAAATCTTATCTACAGAGAGGGAAGTGTAGCTGAGGATAAGCTGTAATTAGCAAAACAGAAGCAGTGGTTCATCTGGCTGAGAGAAGTGGTGTTTGGTGTCCTGTGGGTGGCACAGTGACCTTATTTTTGTCTGCTCTTAGACACAATTATGAAATGACCTTGTTTTGTCTCATTTTATTGTGGTCTTAGAATAACCTTATCAGAGGTTGGTTTTCTGTGAGATAGTTTAGGTTCATCAGAATAACATGCCTTAGCTGTGAGTACCAGGCTAGTTTCTAAATGTCAGAGACTGCTCTTTTTGTTCTCAACTTGTCTAACTTTTGTTTGGGCTACTTTTCTTCCTCCTGGGAAATTGTAAGAGAATGTATTTACTCATTCAACAAACCGCCAAGTGAGTACCTGTACTCCATACCAGGCACGATCCTAAACACAGGACACAGTAGTGAAAATGCTGCCTTCAAGGTTCTCAAAGTCTTGGATAAAACTATGTTTCAATTAACTGTGTTGCTAGTTTAAATGCCTTCTTATTCCAACTTGTATCTGGATACTTCCAATGATTAGGAAATCCTACATTTTGTAGACAGTTCTGAATGCTAGAAAATTGGTTCTTACGTTGATCTGTAATTTCTTTTTTCTTTCTTTCTTTTTTTTTTGAAATGGAGTCTTGCTCTGTCCCCCAGGCTGGAGTGCAGTGGTGCGATCTCGGCTCACTGCAAGCTCCGCCTCCCGGGTTCCCGCCATTCTCCTGTCTCAGCCTCCCGAGTAGCTGGGACTACAGGCGCCCGCCACCACCCCCAGCTAATTTTTTTGTATTTTTAGTAGAGACGGGGTTTCACCATGTTAGCCAGGATGGTCTCGATCTCCTGACCTCATGATCCGCCTGCCTCAGTCTCCCAGAGTGCTGAGATTACAGGCGTGAGCCACCGCGCCTAGCCTTGAGCTACAGTTTCTTTCCTTGTATATTCCACTGCTTGGGTCTATGTCTGTACATTAAAGACACTGAGAACGAGTTCCCTGCATATTCTCTAGCTGTTTACGTAGTCGACCCATGGGTGATGTAGGTGAACTCTGGATTTTCATGATTCAGTGCTATGCTGACTGCTCTTACATTCTTCTCAAAAGAATATTTTAATTCAAGAAACAATTTAACATTGATTCCATTTTCCACATGGCCTTAGCGTTTAGGCCTATTTTGTCCGACTGAAGGACAGACTACATTATCAGGGCTTTTCTAATCAAAGTGTTACGTAGGCAGTTAGGTGCTACTGCGCGTGAGAACAGCAGACGCTAGGTGGCAGCATCTTGCCTCGGAACTGGCACAGCAAACTGGGAGCTGAGTTCATTAGCTGCATTTTAGAGAGCAGAGTCAAAGGACCTTCCAGAAGTTACCTAGTCCCTGACACCAGATGGGACAACCCCTGGTCAAATCCACCGACATAGGTATTTATCCTGTTTATAATAACTGCTAGGAAAAGTGCGCATCTTACCAATAGGAACCTAGTCTAATATT